ATTTATGTTATATTTTGTATATATAAATGGATGAATGAATGAATGAATGAAAGAAAGGGGAAAATGTAAATTTTAATGTTTCACCCAATTTAATATTTCATATATGTATATACAGTAAAAACGGTAATATTGTGAAATATTATTACATTTTCTCTATTTTAATATATTTTAAAATATTATTTATTCCAGTGATGGAAAAGCTGAAAAAATATATTTAATATCATTTTAATATTATATATAATTATATAATATTTGAGGTTGATACCATGGTGGCCATATAAGTGTTATTTCACACTTTCCTATCAGCTTCTGGCCTCTGGAGTAAACTGAAAGAGCTGGTTAATCTCAGAGCAACTTCATTTCCAGGCATCTAATTGAAACTACATTAAGCACAAACACAATGTTGTGTCGCACAAGCAGACATTGATGTAGAGCTCTTCACAGGCCAGAACAAAAGCAGTTTACGGAAGCTGCAGTCATTAGTGTCTGTGTCGCAGGGAAGAACAGGATGTAAAGAAATGAACAGGAAGCTTTCAGAGCGTATAGATCAGGTATTTTAGGAGGCTATTCTCTGTTTAGTGTTCCCTAAAAATGCTGAAACTAATATGATTTTATATCGCTGTGCTGAGGATGATGATAGGGTGCAGGAAAGCAAACTCCAAACAGGATTTAACAGAAAGCATCACAACGCACACATAGACAGGCGCACACACACAGAGAGACTTAACCGATGTTCACAAAAAAGCAAGTGATATATGACAATAACATATTTTTTATATTTCTCTGATAGGAAACAATCACAGCCCAAGTAAAAGCACGTTTTCAGAAAAAGAAGAAGCATAATGAAAGAAATGACGACCGCCGCTCTGTCCTTGAATGAGAGCGACTGCTTAACGAACAATTGATCAGTTACAATTATAGACTTGCCGCTCACCTTTTCCAATGACACGTGTCCCATTAGCAGCCAAACTGCCAAACTAATGAGAGGTACGACATGTTTTGGCACTCTCGTTTGTTATGTTATTACACGCTCCACTCACAAAGTGGTGAAAAAAGACATCTCACAGCTGAAGAGTACTAGAGTTCTGGTGTACTCGTGCGAGTTCTAGTGTACATGTGTGAGTACTAGATTACTCGTGTGAGTAATGGAGTACTAGTGCGAGTTCTAGAGTACTATTGTGAATTCTAGAGTACTAGAGTGAGTTCTAGAGTGTTAGTGTGAGTACTAGAGTTCTAGATTACTAGTGTGAGCTTTTGTGTACTAGTGTGGGTACTGGAGTACTTGTGTTCGTTTTAGTGTACATTTGTGAGTTCTAGAGTACTCGTGTGAGTAATGGAGTACTAGTGCAAGTTATAGAGTACTAGTGTGAATTCTAGAGTACTAGAGTGAGTTCTAGAGTGTTAGTGTAAGTACTAGAGTTCTAGATTAGTAGTGTGAGCTTTAGTGTACTAGTGTGGGCACTGGAGTGCTCGTGTGAGTAATGGAGCACTAGTGCGAGTTCTAGAGTACTATTGTGCATTCTAGAGTACTAGAGTGAGTTCTAGATCATTAGTGAGTACTAGGAGTTCTAGATTACTAGTGTGAGCTTTAGTGTACTAATGTGGGTACTGGAGTACTCGTGTGAGTTCTAGTGTACATGTGTGAGTACTAGAGTACGTGTGTGAGTAATGGAGTACTAGTGCAAGTTCTAGAGTACTAGTGTGAATTCTAGAGTACTAGAGTGGGTTCTAGAGCATTAGTGTGAGTACTAGAGTTCTAGACTACTCATGTGAGTGCTAGTGTACTACAGTACCAGTGTACTAGTGTGGGTACTGGAGTACTCATGTGAGTTCTAGTGTACATGTGTGAGTACTAGAGTACTCGTGTGAGTAACGGAGTACTAGTGCAAATTCTAGAGTACTAGAGTGAATTCTAGAGTACTAGAGTGGGTTCTAGAGCGTTAGTGTGAGTACTAGAGTTCTAGACTACTCATGTGAGTACTAGTGTACTACAGTACCAGTGTACTAGTGTGGGTACTGGAGTACTCATGTGAGTTCTAGTGTACATGTGTGAGTACTAGAGTACTCGTGTGAGTAATGGAGTACTAGTGCGAATTCTAGAGTACTAGAGCAAGTTTTAGAGCGTTAGTGTGAGTACTAGAGTCAGTGTTGCCAAGTCAGGGTTAGGAACTAGAGTGAGTTCTAGAGTGTTAGTGTGAGTACTAGAGTCCTAGTGTATGCTAGAGTAGAGTACAGTGTACTAGTGTGAGTTCTAGTGTACTAGTGTGAGTAAGATCTTTTATCTGGAAATGAACTCGGATCATCTCATGAAGCTTTGCAAATATTAATCAAATAGAAAAATTACAATTTAAAACTATTTATTTTATATAATATAAAAATTTGAGTCTCTTCTGCTCACCACTAAGTCTCTTCTGCATTTATTTGATCAAAATACAGTAAAAAAAAGAGTAATATTGTGAAACATTATTACAATTCAAAATAGCTGTTTTCTATGTGAGTACCTGTTAAACTGTAATTTATTTCTGTGATGCGCAGCTGTATTTTCAGCATCATTACTCCAGTCTTCAGTGTCACATGATCTTCAGAAATCGTTCTAATATGCTGATTTGCTGCTCAAGAAACATTTCTGATTATTATCAATGTTGAAAACAGTTGCGCTGCCCAATATTTTTGTACACTAAAACCGCCAGGCTGAACACACAGATCCAGCGTTGGCATAAGGTTTTTTGGTGTTGAACTAGCCTGTGTGTCTCTGTGTGTTTGGGCTGTTTAGTAGCATGATCTCGTGACCAGGCCAATCAGGCTGGTGTTCACTGTGAAAAGTGTTGTTTGCGTCTGCGACAGTAATGAATACAGGCTCCATCAAGAAGCAAGATTGAGCAACACTCTCATTTAGATTGCTGTTTCTCCTACCAATGCATGTGCTAATTACATTCAAATTAGACCGGTGAGGAAGAGGAGGAGACAAGGACTAATAAAGGGTTTCATTCTTGCCGCTATCATTCTATCTTGCTTTGTCCGCCTCTCTGTTTCACTCTCTCATTTTCTTTCTGTTGCTTACTTGAATCTTTAGGCTACTGTGAGCTCCGCCTGGCTCTGTCAGGTAGCATTTTAGAAGGCAACATTTGATGGCACAAGTGGAGGACCAGATGATAAAGCAGAGAGAAACACAGTGATGTAATCCTTCCACTATTAAGTAGAGCATACATATATAAATATGAGCCATGTGTTTAGTGTGTGAGGAGGTAAAATATAGATTGAAAGAGATGAACAACAGTGGGAGGAGAAAGATAGGAAAGAAAACAGAATGAAGGAGATTATGAAAAGGCTGACGCTGAGGGGGAAATTCACCACCAACGAAATGCGTTCGCTTTAGTTCGTTTTAGCACTCGATTCACTAAACGATTTATGTAAAACAATGCAAACACACACACACACACACATGCAGTGCTTAATGCAATGTACATGCACTTTCACCATAAAGTCAGATGAGATCCTGCTTGAGATCCTGAATCGGTTCTTTAAGATTATAAATGAGCGTCTTGATGTAAGTGCAGTAATAATGCTCTCCATCATTTCATCACAACTACTGACAAGAACACTTAAACATGACAAAAGTAGTATTTAATAAAATTCTGTTTATTGCCTGCTAGCAAACTTGCATAGTTTTGTGAGTGAGGCATGAATAAAGACAGAAGGCATGCTTGTGCTAAAAAATATGACAATATAAATTGCAAATCTAATGTATGCAAAAAAAATGTCAATACGGGGGGGAAAAAACTGTTTGTAAATAAAGCAGAGTTTCCATCCCACGTGTTCAAGAGAATAAAACTGTCACTTTCAGTGAAATTAAATCAAAATACAAAAAAAGATTTTAAAAATTCTCTCAAAAATTTCTAATACATTTCACAAATATTTACAAAGAAACATCGAGTAGCACATTAAATTAAGCATAACATTTTGAAGTTGTAAAATGCACAAAATATTTGTAGAATAATTGTAGTGTAGAAATGAAAATGAAGTTGCAGCCACTGAGGAGGATGCTTTAGATTAAAAAAATTAAGATGCTACATGATCATATTATTAATTTATTGTGCATTATGCATATTTGTTATGCACATCTTTGCACTGAACAAAACATTTATCCGTAAAAGTTTTTTATGGACATTTGGTTTACATATTGGTTTTAACATGCTGTAAAAAATGTTTTTTGTTTTTTTTTTAGTTGCAAGTAATACAAAGATAACTGGAGTATGCTTTACAAATGAAATACAAGTGGAATTTACTAGCAATTTCTGAGTGAAAATTCAAAGTAAATCCATTGAAAATCACTGAAAATCTCAATAATATATAATTATGTACTATTATAATTATATATTTAAATTTTACATACATTATTTATCAATAATATTTTATAAATAAATGAAACATTTTAGTATTTTAAAAAATACAACAAATAATTGTCAGAATGTCTTGTTTAATTCAGTGTTACTTGCCGTTTCTTTGTAATTATTTGTTACATTTACTATCAATTTCTGAGTGAAAAATTGTTTCAAAGTCCTACACCAGTTTTTTTTTTTTCAGTGCATTTAAAATACGTGTGTGTTCACCCTCATGTTAAACTACACCGCGGAATAAGACGAAGATTTTTGCTGCAACATCCCATAACCATTTCTGTTGCGACATCAGCACCAGTTCATCGATGCTAGACAGTTGCCACGGCAACATCGCCATGGCTACATTATTCACTGCAAAATCACCATGGCTACATAGTTTAGTTTAACTTGAATAAAATGTACTAAAATAACAAAAATGAAATAAAAATTAATAAAAACTATCTATCTATCTACTAAAAATAAATGCACCAAAAATGACTTTACTTTACTTTAGTTTTACTTTACTAAAATTATAATGAAAACAGAAAATGTAAAAATGTATAGTGACTGACAACAGTAGCAGTATGTGAGTGGTGCTGTCTCAGGAGTGTTCTCAGCACTCACCGCTGATGGTGACAGACGCCTGTGCTTCTTCTCCCAGCAGCGGCTGGCTCAGTCTGCAGCTGTAAGTGCTGCTGGGCTCCAGGATCACCGTCAGGACGCTCTTCACGCTGAACAGACCCTCCTCGTTGGCCAC